CAAGTTGTTCTTAGGAAGCTGATAACTAGAACTGGTAGAGTGCTTACCTGGGAGATTTGGTGGTGAATTATGCTAGGTTATCAGAGGATAAGGTTATGATTATGGATAAAGCCTAACCTAAAGCAAACAGCGAAAAACAACAGTTGAAATACATACAGTACTGTACAGTATATGTGAACTGTCTTACCTGCCATGGAATTTGTAAGGCTCACCACACACATTACAATCTGACTGTACAATCTCCTTTAAATCTACCAAAAAGTATATAGGGCAAGGGCCTCTATGATTGTATGCGCATTGATTGGGCAGTTCATGCAGGACTTCATATTACATAGAATTGGTAAATCTCAAATTGATTGTACAAAGACTGTATGGTGAGCCCAATTCTACTCATACAGTCTTGTGATCCAGGGACCTCTGATAGACAGCACTGTCAGGTCTTTGACCTCCTTGTCGACTACACTGCATAAAAGCATACATCCAGGTCCATTACAGCCTGTACTTGGAAATTAAGGATGATCAGTACATTATTGAGGTCATCCCTGTGCTCTTACCTCTGGGTAGTTCACAAACAGCATTTTGCAAAGCAACAGCTCTCAGTGACTCTGTTGGTGCGATCTTTGCACCTCAGTTCTAAAGTCTACACAATGACCACAGCAACTGTCCCAGTGCCCCTGTCAGCATTCAACCCATTTTATATTATGCAGAAACAAGGATTGGGCCAAACTGGGAACACCCCAGTTGCAGCAAGAAGAGTATACTCCAATGTATTAATCTAATCATTGAGCGAGGAGAAAATCTATTCATGAGGTTAAGACTTTTTTTATTACAATCTTTATTTAAAATTTTGTAGGTGACAATGCATTCATGAGTAAGGAAGGAATGAGTACATATGGGGAAAAGAAACAGTATACAGAGTGCCAATATAGACAGAATTGCAAAAGAATGCGCTATATGTGGTAAAGAATGTCATCGAGAAGTGTACATAACAGTTATGCAGAACAGTGTAATCCATATCCTTAAAGGAGAACTATGGGGTTAAGGCTTTTCCCCATAGTTCTCCTTAGGGTAACGGGAGGACACAAACTAGCGTCCTCCCGTCACCCTAGGCTCAGTATATGGCGAGCTGTAGCTCGCCGTATACTAAGACGGCGCAGTATACCGCGAGCTGATGCTCACGGTATACTAAGATGCCGCAGCTGAAGCGGATCCCGACAATTATGTCTGGATCCACCCAGCTGCGTGACTGACAGCTGGCTCGGCCTATCTAGAGGCAGAGTCAGCTGTACCCGCCCGCTCCCCCGTCCGTTCCGCCAGTCATCGCTGGCGGATTGGAGCGGGGGGAATCCAGCCCCTCCCCTGTCACGGCAGAGAGACGTGACAGGATCGAGAGGTGAGCAAACGCCGGTATGTGTTCGCTCACCTCCCAATCTACTGAGCCGACCTGTGACAGTTTCATTGTCACAGGTCGGCTAGAACTATGAGGTGAGTGAAAAGCACTCACCTCAAAGTTCTCCTTTAACTTCAGAGATATACTCATAATATTATTGTCTTCCTATCTAAGAGAATACAAACTGATCAGCCATAACATTAGCACCATGGGAAGAAGGCAAGCCAGCGAAGGCAGTGTGGTTCTTTGTGTGTTCTGCTGGAAAACTTTGTGTCCTACCATTCATGTGGATGTTACTTTGACATGTACCACCCACCTAAACATCATTGCTGATTCAGTACACCCCTTAATGGAAACGGTATTCCTTGATGGCAGTGTTCTCTTTCAGCAGGATAACATGCTTTTCCACACTGCAAAAATGGTTCATGAATTGGTTGAGTAACACAACAACGAGTTTGAGGTGATGACTTGGCCTTCAAATTCTCCAGATCTCAATCCAATTGTGCATCTGTGCGATGCACTGGAAAACAAGTCCAATCCATGGAGGCCCCACCTTACAACTTATTGGACCTAAAGGATCTGCTACTGACGGCTTAGTGCAAAATACCACAGCATACCTTCAGAGGTCTAGTAGAGGCCATGCTTTGATGGGTCAGGGCTGTTTTGGTGGCAAAAGGGAAACCTACTCAATATTAGGTGGATGGTCATAATGTTATGGCTGATCGTTGCATGTTGTCAGTTGTTACTATAATTCTTAGCCAGGGCAAGAGAAGTGGCAAAGTGGAGTGGATATCTAGGTCATGGTAGACTTTTCCAATATGAGTTGGTGAATTCTATATACTTATCCATTGAGATGAAAGAAGTAGCGATAAATTGTAGAAGCTACAAACAAAGATAGAGATGAGAGGATAATTATCAAGTCTAGACTGAGATGGGAGTAAGGGATGGGGGGATGGGAGTGTGTTGGTCAGGGGGGTGTCAAGAAAAAAGGTTACCGATATCTTAGGAGACTGACCTTATCAAACCAAGTATGATAGTATAGTAAGGTATGGAGCATACTACACTAATACTTTGAGGAACTTCTAAACTTTTTGAGTCCAGTATCTTCAGTAAATCAGTAAATCATCATGCTCCTACCTTTCTAATCTTATATGTATAGCTAACCTAACGTATCAATTTCATAATGATCAGCAGTGGTGATAGTATTACTTTGACTATGTCATGTAAGCTTGGATTGTAATCTCTGCTATGGATAATCTTAATTTGGGATATTTAGTGTTCTCAGTGTTCTCCTGTTTGCTTGACGAGCTTAACTAAATTAGCAAGAACATAGGGCCACAACCAATGACTTGTTGCAGGACGTACAAATGTAATGATCAGTGTATATAAGGTCACTAACTGTGGCTGGTGACAATCTCATTTTACAGGGTTTTAATGCTTATCTGAGAAGGTTCATGCTTCACTCGTCAGAATAATTGAATCTTATTCTTCTGAAAGATGAGACAGTGACTGGAACTGACAACACTTGTCTGTTTCAGCGTCTGAATTATTAGTTTTAATCATTTTTCCTCTACCTTTGCTTCCACTAATGCTGTTACATAACATTCATTTTAATTACAAAACTTAACATTTGCAATTTATGTGAGACTATTTATTATCGTGTTGATTAAATGTGTAATTTTCCTTCATCTCCGCAACATGGAAAAATTAAGTAATAAACTGGGATTAGTGGGGTGGGTAGAATTACTTACTATAAAAAGAAAAAAGTGGTCACATGAGATAGCCAGTTTAACTTCCATTCTTTGGTAAAGTGTCCACTATTTTGCATACCATGATTGGGATGGATGGTAGGGGAATACATAAAGAATTCTCTTCTGCGAGCTTTTAACATCTCAGATGTTCCTCTGCCAGAATTATTAAAAAGCATACCTGTACTAAAAAGTTTAACTAAGTACTCCCATGTCTTTCCCACAACTTACATTTTTTTTCTCCACATTGACATATAGTCCTAGCTCACAGCAAAAGTGGCAATGATTGAGAATGGTGCAAACAGTAAGGGTTCATGTACAGTGTGGCAAATAATTATTTTATCCCCTGGAGATTTTGAAAGTTTGCCCACTTACAAAGAAATGAAAGGATTATCATTTTTTATCATGTATTTTGTATTTTAAATGATAGAGACAGAATAACAACCGATATCACTGAACTGCAACTCAATTTATTACATTTGTATAATGTATTTTTTCTGGATTTTTTGTTGATATTCTGTCTCTATCATTTAAAATACACCTATGATAAAAATTATAGACATCTCATTTATTTGTAAGTGTGCAAACTTACAAAATCTGCAGGGGATCAAATAATTATTTCCTCGCTATACATGGTGGGCATTGGGTGCACATCTGAGCTGCTTGAAGCAAAATAAACACAAGTCAAAGCATTTTAGAAATGCCTAGAAGCATAGTGCACTTGATTCAGTTTTAAAGTCTGTCTACACCAATCCCATGTCTTAAGTTTTTTTTTAAATAAAAAAAACCTGTTGCTACTGTGGGCCTTTTGGCTAAGATCAAGTGTAGTATCTGTTCTTATCAGTTTTCGGTGGGGAAAAGAACCGTCCTTGCAAGGGATGGTTACTTAGCACTCGCTGAAGTGAAAGAGCGTGTGGGGCGGCTTCCTGTGAGAGGGGAACCGCTCAGTACATGGCTTTCTGACTGAACGGATGCGAAGCTTGGCCTGGCTCGAGGGTTCGGGGGCGGCAGAAGCCCGTGGTGTTGTGCCCCCTGGGGGTGGCGTCCCAGGGGTGCGCAGAAAGTCACTTGGGTATGGGACCCCACATGACTCACTGTGCATTTGGTCACACACCATATTGCAATTTTCTGCACTTCGCCTCCAAGACAGGCCTTATGGCTAGTCTGGGGCAATATTTTTGCACTCCGGCCCCTAAGGCCTGTCAGAGTGGTGCACTGGCACTTTAGATTTATTTAAGCACTCTATGCACGATTGGCACTTTTTTATTTTACATTTTGACCCACAGATTGCTGAAGGTGCAGGTTTCTTCGGGGCCTATTCCTGATGCTGGGAGGAGATTCTGTGCCTCCTATGGGGTTCTCTGTCTCCTCCCACCCAGGAGGGGGGTTTCTCTTCGGGAGATCCCCCCTGCCTAGTATTGTGAGGGACCTGTTTCGGCAGGTCCCCGAAGGAAATGGTCCACCGGCCTTCGGGTTGGTGGGCCAACAGTCTCAACCCCTGTCAGGAGCCTTGCGCCCCGGGGGGTCGGGAAAGTAGGTCCCTTCTTTCGAAGGACCTTGCACCCTTGTGCACGTTTTTGTGTGCTGTGATTTCACGGTTCACTTTTTTTGTTCACAGGGGGAAGTTTGATGCATGTCCAAGGGGAAAAAAAAAAATTAGTTAGCTCTAAAAACACACATAATGCTGTCCCAGCCTCCAAAACACCTGCCGCTGGAGCATTTCACCCATACAGGATTAGTCACAGACATTTCTTTCCTGGTGTTTCCTGCTTGTTGTATATTTATAATATACCAGTATGTTGTCTATTATAGAAATAAATGAAATGTGAAAAATTCAATAATTGCGTTTTTTATCTCTACAGTATACGTACTGATTTAAACCCTCCTGAGGTAGAAGTAGAGAAAGCATATCTCCAGTATGCGGGATGGGGCCCCAAAGGTCAACAACTGGTGAGTCAAACTTTTTGCAATAAAATAATCCTCATGTATAATTGTGCCTAAAGAAATTAGTGATTTAGTTGTTCAGGCAAACTGTCAACTTCTTACTTTGATGGTGCCAATGAAGGTTTGAATCTAATTGTTGCATCTAACATAGATCTCTGTTTGCAGACATCTTTAGGCATGAAGTCTATTATGCTTCATTTTTTAAAGATACGTTATCAAACTCTCTGCATACATACTTATGTGCTGGTCCCCTTAGCAATTCTTTTTGAGTTTTGAAGGAACTCAAAACAAACTATGAAAGAGTGGAATTCCCGAAAACTGAACAATTCTAATGTTATAAAGTGCTTCTGGCTAATAAAAAGACAATACTGGGATAATTAGTGACATGAAGTGTGTAACATACAGCAAAGTGTACAGTGTGGAGCGGTATAGATTATAATATGACTATAAAAAAGCATACATACAGTATAATGTACGCAGGGGTGGAAATACCGTTGGTGCGGCTGCAGCGGGGCCTCAGGCTGTGGGGGGGGGGCCTATTGAGGTCCTGTCCTGGGCACCCCCAGTGGAATATTGGGCAGTTCAGGGTCCCGGTGTTAGAACACCGGGGGCCCCCGCACTGCCGACTGGCGTCTCAGTAAGGGGGCGGGTCCTGTGACTCACCTCCTCTCCCGGCCGCGTCCCTAGTAACAGGTGGCTGGAGAGGAGAAGTGTGTGTGTCACACGCCCCACCCTCTGCAGTGCACACACCGTCTGGCTGCGATCCTGTGAGGCTATGCGGGATCTATGGTGTGCTCTGCAGGGTGCCAGGTAAGTCCAGCACACTACTGCAACATTAGAGACCACTGAGGAGGGTGGTTCGGGGGCCAGTGTGATCCGCTCCCGCACCCCCCCATTTTGGGAGGGGGGCCCAAGATAAAATCTTGCACCAGGGCCCTTTGGTTATTAGGTCCGCCACTGAATGTATGACACATAGTTGAGGTGTGAAGTAAACAGCATACAGTACACTCTTCATTGAAGAACCATATAGAGTAGATACAAATTGCTCAGTGTACAGAGAAAAGAGGTATAAAGTATGTAATGTACAGCACAACTGACAGAGTGAAGAGGTCCAAAGTACATGACATAGTGCTTAGTATACAGGGTGCATTGGAGCATGGTATAGAGCATATACTGCTGTCTAATTTAAAAATACGGTATAATGTTTTAAAATAAAGAGCTGTAACACGAATACATAATTGCCTTCAGATGGGGAAAAAAGCTGTTATACAGTCATGCACTTGACATACTAAAAATGTGTTTCCTCCCCCTCCATGCATATTAACTGAACACCAGACTAGCCATAGAAGATCCCCTTGGATCACGAGAGCAAAGCTTTTTACTGAAATTGATCTATTTAATTATGGCATGCCGGGGAGTGGCTACTAGTTGTTTTTAATTCTTGCTTATGTTCCTGAGTATTAGAGACATGGGTAACTCATAAAAGGAAATATAGAGGGTTATTCACAAAAGGTGAAGAGTTTGGAGTAGGCAGGAGAAGTGAACAATCTAGGACAGAATAGCTGATTTGGAAAAATTCTCCAATTCAGCTCACGTTCCAGTTCAGCTATGTTGTCCTAGATTGTTCACTTCTCCGGCCTTCTTCAAACTCTTCACCCTTTTGTGAATAACCCTGATAGTCTTAGAAGCAGCGTTGTGATCTTTTCTGAAATGGAATTGGGACTTTGTTACATGGTAGGTTAGGAAGCAGAGAATTAATAGCCAAATTCTTTATATCTGATTTGTTGGTCATACTCGTTTTATATACTGTGGTATGCTCAAAATTAGGTGAAGAACAATACATGGGTATTTTAACTTGGGGACTGGGGAAATGTATAAACCTAGATTTAAAACCATATTTCCAATAGCAAACAACCCAATTTCAGCAGTTCAAATGGTAGCTGGGACCTAAATGATTCATTGGTTGCACATGCTGATAGGTAAATAAATAGGACCCAATGCCTTGAAGGTACTAGAGATGTAACATTTAACCATAGAAAGTAATAGAGTGTCACATAAAAAAGAGTAGTGACAGTGGAACGTTTAACACTGACATGCACATTAGAGACAATTACGCCCAACGTAGACTCACTATCTGGTGACTTATCTAGTGATCAATATTATCTATTGACAGGTTAATTTATTGTTACAACAGTTCATGCTCTTTGTATCTAAGTAACTGTCCTCACCAGAATAAGGTTCTTAGGTTGCATCTATTGGACCCTCATTGCTTGCTCTAATACAGCCTGGTAAAGTGTCCATACACAATAGAGGGTGATCAGACATGCTAGCATGATCTGTCATCTCAAGATTAAATAAATATGGACACTTGACAGCTGAGTTTTTGAGTTTATTGATAGGGAGAGGAAAGCGGAATACTAGGTTTTGAACAAGCTTTTTCATTTGTTCATTATATCATTGTTTCTAAACCACCAGGCCTCGCTCCTGTCATGCCACGGCTTGACAGCTACTTGCAGAGCCAGCGCTTATTTGTGGCTGCTTTTGCAGCTATATATACTGTATGTGTGACTTCCTGGTAGGTACTGTTGGAGTGCTTTCCCTCCTGCTGGGCCATGGCTTGACATCTACTGCTGTCCCATTCTTTACAGAACCAGTTTTTATTGTATACATGTGCTGCACCTTCCTCACAGGCTGAAAGCTACCTCTTTGCCAGTCTCTGCAGAGTCTGTACTTATTGTGCGGCACCAGTCACCTAGCAGTAGCTGTCAAGCTGCAGCCCAGCAGTTCCTAGCTACAGGACACAATATGCAGAACACTGCTTCAGAGGAGCTGTGGCACTAATTGCGTGAAACGCCACCACTTCCCTCAGTGGCAGCCAGCATGGAAGCATGAGTTGCTTGCATCTTAAAATAGGAGAATGGAAGCAAGTGTTTCTGGCACCTTAAAACAGCAGCAGGCAATTTGTAACTTGTAATTGGTTGTCCTGGGCTCAGAGAAGCGCCAGCTGAACTAGAAAACAGGAAGAGGGAGCACAGTGTCAACAGGTAAAAGTGACTGAAAGACTTTACGGTTACCCAGGTCACTTCTACATAAATGACAAAAGTTGGCAAGGTAAATTTAAAGACCTATGTGTGGCTGCTGTTACAGTCACGGGTTTGTTCTTTGTCTTTAACTACAGCGTAATAAGATAGTTTATTGCTCCGCATTCAACAACTCACATGTAGATCATGGTGGAGAGGGAAATGTAGTGGGTCTCAGTGGTCAAGCAGTGCAAATGAGGACATCAACATCTCTCACCACCTGTCATTTATGGTGAGATGGCTAGTCTGACTGTGTTACATATTTCAAACATTACCTGACCAACAGATGCCATCCCAGTCTTGTGTATCAGGTCCTGCAGCATGCCAACCAAATCTTCTAAATGACCTTCCTTGTGCTGTGTTTCTCTGTGTACTTACTTTGATGGAAACCCTCTACTCTTGCCAGACAGTCACCTGCAGGTGACTATGGCAGCATCAATCTCCACTACCTAAATTGAGAAATGCATCTAAACGACACATTGAGGCCTATAAATAAAATCAGAAACCGTCAGCACTTAAAATAATCAATCCCTTTATGTGGTACATCTCGGGCCTATTGATCAAGCCAGAAGAAAGGGCCCGTTAGTGGAGTGTTTTAACTTAGATGTTAATGTCTCCAAATGAATAACAATAATGTGAGGATAAACAAATAAAGGTCTGAGTTCATTATCTGGATGATACTTGTTTAAATGAGACAATAACCTAAAAGCACAAGTGCAAGGTTATTTCTGTGTATTAGTTCTTCAGGGTGCAATCCTGTTAAAGCCTCATGTGGTCAATATTTACAGTATAGCTAAAACCAAAACATTTTTTTAGGATGGGATAAATTGAAGGGGGGTTAAAACTCTTGACCTTTTTTTGCTGTCTGTGTCCCATTGAGGATATTTTTTTCTCTTCTTGTCTGGAAACAAAACAGGACGTGAGAAGAGAGTTCTCCAAATAATGGGAATCCTCTCTGACCCATTGAAAACTATTTTTTCTCACTTTCACACTGATCACCAAGACAAACTGAGAAGGTAAATCCCCAAGGCGACAACTGAGACGGCAATAAGAGGCGTGATTCAACCCAGCACTAGTAAATCTAAAACTACAAAAAATGTTTAAAAAAAATAACTATAGGGTAAGGGTTTTTCCCCATAGTTCTCTTAATGGTCACAGGAGGACATACACTAGCGTCCTCCCGTGACCCAAAGCTCAGTCTATCGAGAGCTGCAGCTCGCAGTATAATGAGAGCACCGCAGCTGGGACGGATCCGACAATGCTGTAGAGATCCACCCAGCTGCGTGAATGACAGCTGGCTCTGCCTATCTAGAGGCAGAGCCAGCTCTACCTGCCCTCTCCCCCGTCCGTTCATCAGAGCGGGGAGGGGGGAATCCCTGCGGGGAACGGTGACTGACAGTCACCGCTCTCTGCAGAGAGATGATTGAGAAGTGAGTGAACGATGGTATATGTTCGCTCACTTCCCAATCTATTGAGCCGAAGTGGGACAGTTTCATTGTCACACGTTGGCTCAAACTATGAGGATGAGTTATTTTCACTCACCTCATAGTTCCTCTTCAACTATTTTTAGAAACATTATACAGGTGATATACTATAAGAATGGATTTAAAGAAACCTTTCTCTGAGAGAACTATGGGGGCTGCCATTGCTGACCTCCTTCTGCTAATTATCTGATCACCCCGAGCTTCAAACACTTTCTAAACCACTGAAAATAAGCAGGCAGTTGGTGAAGTCAAAGAAAAATCAGAACTCCCGACCTTCATACTTCTTTGATTTCAGTGGCTCAGATACTATTGACACTTATGGATCCACAGCTACGATACTAGCATTTCCAAAAAGAAAGTTTAACTATAGCTACTTCTGTATTGTTTTAGTATTTGTCCACAATAACAAAAATCTGTCTTGATGAAAACATGGAGGCTTCCA